GTTCCTCTTTGTGTATCTTGGGAAGCCATAGAGTTTGGGGCATCTGGAAGATTTCTCTCTGGGGATAATTCTTTACTGGATCTCTTCACTGATGGGAGAGGCTTTTATTTTGGATTTGGTAGTTTTTTTCAGGTAGGTGGTGGGGTCTGTGTTTAGAGGTTTGTAAGCGAGGCTTTGGAGTAGGTTGGAGAGGTTGGCTTAGTAGTCAGACGTGTTCATCACCACAGTGGCGTTACCTTTGTCTACTGGGAGAATGATTATATTGTTATCTTTCCTCAAGTTGGTGAGTGCTTTTTGTTCTTCTTTATGTAAATTGCTTCTGGGTGGATTGCTGGAGCAGAGGACGTTGGTGACCAATCAAATCTGATTTTATTGGCTTCATCTGGGTTGATTTTGGTTAGGGCAGCTTCAACTCCGCATATGATGTTTTCAGTGGGAATGTGTTTGGGGGCGACTGCAAAGTTGAATCCTTTGGAAAGGACATTGGCTTCTGCTATGGTGGGGGTCCTGTCTGATATGTTGTATACTGTTTGTTTCATGAGTTGCTGTAGAGGGGGGTTGGGCTTCTGTTGTTTTTCACACATCCCCACCAATATTTATAAAGGGACGGCAGTTCCGATCACTCTTTGCTTGCACAGGCACCAAGCCGAAGACAACAGCCTGAAGATGACGAGTGGGACCTCGTCAAAACGTCGCCAAGATACTCTCAATCTTACACGGGAAAAGACCCAAATACACCAAAACCTGCACACACATATATATATATAAAATATTTCAACTTCTAACATTTGTGTATAAATTGTAATTATACATTCTATTATATATCAGTATACATAATACTAGTCAATCTTACATGGGAAAAGACCCGAATACACCAAAACCTGCATATATTTATATATATATATATATATATATATATATAAATATTTCAACTTCTAACATTTGTGTATAAATTGTAATTATAATACATTCTATTATATATCAGTATACATAATACTATTTACCCAATTTCTACTTTCTACCTCTTTTTTCCCCGAACTCTTAATAAAATAGCCACCATATTAAGAAGTATTCTATATCTATCCATGATCTCTTGCCCTTTTTAAAATTTCCACTCTTATTGGTTTTTTGGTAAATCTTTCATGTTTCTCTCTTGGGATCTACCTCAATACCTACAGTATCATTTACTGATGAATCTCTAGAGCATCCATCCGCAATTCTTTCATCACTTTTGAGAGATCTTTCTCTTTAGTTTATTCTATATTTTAAACTCTTAATTAAGAGTATTCTATGTGTTCCATTTTAAGAATTATTACTGTCTCTTCCATATTTTATCTTGGTTAAAAGTAATTTTAGCTATGTTTCCTTTTATTATCAGATGCCTTTAATTTATTTGGATTACTATTATTCTATTTTTGCACTTTGCATAACATTACTTATCCTGAAAGGAATAATATGATGGATGTATATGTGTATATGTTGCACATGACATTTTATTTAGTTATATATTTGCCTACAAAGCTTTGATCTCTAGCCAACACATTTGGATAAAGATTAAAGCCAAAGCAGTAGGACTCATATTGCCTGAGTAAGAGAAATGGTGGCACATTTAGAGAAAAAATCCAAGGCAAAATTACTAACAGTATCCAAATCTGTTCCACTCCACCCCAATTTTTAAATTTCTTAAAGTTACATAAGTATAATTCTATTACATAAGATTATCATTAAGTGGTTAATTCAGTATTAATTTATATGCTTTCGAATATTTATATAACATCATTTTAATGGATTATTAATTTTGCTTAATTATTATAGCCACTATAACTGAAGCACATTCTTTTGTCTGACACACTTGGTCCTTTACAATAAGTCAAGAATGCATCCCAAATGTGCCTGAATTCTGGAAGCAATTTTCTAAGTTAGTAGAGAGGGCTGAAACTAATAAGAAATTGGCTTCTGAACTGACATGCTAGATAATGAGTTAGGTGTCAGATGATGGCATTAAGTACAAGCAGCCTTTTCTGCACTCTATTTGGTTTAATCTCATGGTTCTTATGTCTAATGAACCTTGAAACAATATGCTTCATTTACTGTGCAATTTTATATATGCTTGCTTAGAAGTAATCCATATTTTCAGTAGGATTGACTCTCAGAATTGAAACCATGCAGATATATTCAATGCCTCTTATTGGGTTTTTTCTATCATTCTGCTATCTTACCTTCTCATTATAGACAAAGGGTTTATAAACTTATTTGTTGTTATGTGCTATCTAATATAAGCAAATAATTATGATTTAAGTGATTTTTCCTGCAAATATCCCCTTGAAGGAAATATTCTATGTAATATGAATGTAATTTCTAACCTACTGAAATATGAATTAAGATGATTTAAGCAGAGCATTATAATTCAAATCAATATATTCACAAGCACATCACTGTACATTTTAACAAAGTTTGAGAATATGACAAGAAAACCTAACCTTTTGTGCTGAAGCTTGCATAATACTTTGGAGACTAATGACAGCACCTTTGAACAGATTCTAATACTGATATCAGCCTTGGAGCCCTTATATTTATTTCTGGTCCAGCATGTCAAGTGGTACATACAACAGGTTCTTATTTTTTTCATGTGAACTGATTTAGCATCATATTGAATGCTCAGACTGATTGATAAAGGATGGTGAAGCCAGACAATATGGTTTTCTGTACTGATACCTATACTTTGCAATACTTTCCAATGAAAAAAATATCATAGAGTCCCAAATAGCAAGGAGCCAAATATGTGATCTCATCTCTAGTCTAGTTTATCCTCTTCAATGAATTGAGATATTCCTGGTTGGCTAATATTTTTAAAAAGCTATTATAAATTCATAATGTAACAGATTTGATAATCCAAAGAATATGAAATAACTGAAAAATCCAAATAAATAATAGCAGTAGCATTTAGACGTATATACCACTTATATACCACTTCATAGTGCTTTACAGCCCTCTCTAAATGGTTTACAAAGTCAGCACATTGCACCCAACAATCTGGGTCCCCATTTTACCAACCTCGGAAGGATGGAAGACTGAGTCAACCTTGAGCCAGTAAGGATTGAACTGCCGAATTGCTGGCAATTAGCAGTCAGCAGAAGTAGCCTGCAATGCTGCAATCTAACCACTGTGCCACTATGGCTCTTCTTAATCTTAAATATATTGTTTTTTGTAGAGGTTTCTTCCCCCATTCCAAGAAGATAAACAATTCTGGAGTGCAGAAATAGACATTCTTTTTTAAATGCAACAGAGACAGAAAAGAGAATGCATGCTTCATATTTCCTGATCATTCCTCATTCGTATTCTAAAATGACTAAAATTATAGATAATTTTTTCCCTTTGCAAATATCCAGCCAAATAGCAGGAATATTATGTAACTTTGATGGTTGCTTCTGGAATCTTGAAATGTTAATCAGATAATGCATGCATTTCTTTGCCTAAACAGATAGTATTGTTTATGCAAACAAAGATGCCATCTCAACAGCTGGTGCATGCATACTGAAAATTACTCTTCATAATACAGTGATTTATTCAGATCACTTCATGTTTTTTCAACTATTTAAGTTCGTTAATGGTTAAACAGCTTAATTAATTAATTTAGCAAATGGATATAATTGCTCATGTCATTGAATGTGAGGCTCGCTTCTAAAGAAGTTTCATAGTTGCATTGTGTAAGTAATGTTATCTGATTTGTAGCTTAAGGAAGAAAACATTTTGGAAGTGACAAAGGTATGATATATTAGCTTTGTCATCCTGATATTTTCTTTCTAGGATGGTGAGCCTGTTAGGCCAGGAGTAGCTATGACCGACCTTGCTACAGGATTATATGCATATGGAGCAATTATGGCTGCACTTCTTCAACGACATAAAACAGGGAAAGGAATGCACTTGGATTGCAATCTGCTTTCATCTCAGGTAAAGATTTACTCAATGATTGAATAATATTAAACATATTTTGAATAGTTTTTGTCACATATTAATTTTTCACCATCTTAAAGATCTTTGTTGAATGAACGTTCAGTTACCAAGCTGCTGAAAAAAGTGGTTTATGCTGCATCCTCACATTTATGACTGTCAATCCCTCTGCACATGAACAAAATATCAAGCTTGGCAACTGGCATTATTTATGATAGTTGCAACATTCTGGGTTCACCATTTGTGACCTTCCCAGGGGACTTCTGATTAAATAAGGTTGATGAGGGAAGCTTAATGACCATGTGATTTATTTAGTAAGTGATACACTTTATGATCATGGCAAGAAAAGTTGTAAGATTGAGCACAACTCATTTGATGACTATATTGCTTAGCGGTAGAGGCTTTGGTCTTAGTGATGATCATACATTGAGGATTACCTGATTTCTTCAGTTCAAAGAAGAAGAATGCTGCCACCATAGCAATGAAGACATTATGGGATTAGCATGTTTATAATATTACACAAATGATCATAAATAGGAATTTGTGTCCTAATGATTGTAAGTCTGCTCTTCATAATAACAGTATTTGCCCCAAACCAAAAACAAGAAAGATTTTATGTAAATTTACATAAGAGGATAAATGAAATAAATTGGCAAAATATATGTATTTTAGGGGACTTTAACGCAGTAGTAGACAGTAAAATTGATTATAAGGGTACACATAAGAAAAGCACCAGAAGGAAATTACCGACCGCCTATATAAATATGGTGAAGGAATTAGATCTCTATGATGTCTGGCGAACAATGAATGATAAGATTCAACAGTATACATTCTACTCTCAACCACATAATTCTTGGTCACGTATTGATATGGTTTGGTCAAACCCGGTACTACTGCGTTAAAG